TTCTTGAACCCTGTGGCACTGCCTAAGCTTTTATTATTAATGGCTTTTTCAAAGTGTTCATTACTTTTACGTTTATACTTTAAGTAGTTTTGAAATCAGTACTTTTATACTTTTACTTGAGTAAAAAGCTTGAGTTGATACTTCTATTTTAAAAAAAGTATTTTTAAACCATAGTATCTACTGTATACTTCTACTTAAGTAATAAATGTGAGTACATCTGTTAAATCTGGGAGACACCTTATATCTGATAGATTTGGGTCTCAGATTTAAAACAGACTGAAAGGATCGTCTCTGACCTGGGAACGCTCTGAGGTCCTCCAAGAAGAACAGGTCTGGGTTTCTGTCCTGGACTYTGTGACCTCTGGTTCCAAACCACAGATCAGCAGTGAGAGATGGATGGATTATAAATAAAATGTGTTTATTCCATGAGAAACTGTTAGGATCAAATGGTATTTGTTTACATTTCAGAACAAAAAAAATCTATTAAAGAAGGAACTAGTTTCATGGAAGAAATGTGGCCGATCCACCAACAGCAGCTGCTTTAACTCACCACACTGAGACAGAAAACACAAACAATAGTTGTAATTATAAAATGTTAAACTTTTTCAATGATCCAATTYTTGGGCTTCTCTGAATTTCTTGAATCCTCCCAAAAGAGGTCCTAGAACAGGTTTCATTTTTACACACAAGACCACTTTAAAAATAGACCAATTATCCATTTAAAAATGAAAATAATCTACTTTTTTGTCACTCAWRTGGACCAAACATAATGAAAGACCTGCAAAAAACTCAAATATCTCACACAAATACCTGCAGCTATCCTGTGGAAACCTTTTAAAACTCCTGTCAGACCTGGCTGGACTTTCCCACTGTGTTTGCATGTTTAGAGATGATTTAAAAATAACTTATTGATACTCACAGCTTCCTGCGTCTGTACTTCAGCTGTGTTTAATCAGCCCTGCAGCGCTGATCTAACAAAACGACATTGCGTCACAAGGCGCCGTCACAGACTTCTGTTTTCACGTTGGGTCCATTCAAACGTGTTTTCTCTGTCATTTTAAAAAGGTGAACATCGGGAAAATGGTCGCTTTTATTTAATGATTTGAAGCAAAAAAAAATAAAAACGTTGAAAATCCTCTGCCGTTAACGATGCGTTCACTTACTCGGTAAAAAAAGGAATTTACAGAGAAACGTAAACACCCTGAT